TATTTCATCCGCAAAAAAATGAAATTTGGGGCCAATTTGTTCACCTCCAAATATTCTTCTTAAAACCCTCTAGTGGAAATACCGCGTTGTGCAGGCTGTAAACTATTAACACAACCTCCACCTGCATCGTAATTATAATTGGGCCTCTTTACTGAAAAATCTACACTCTTTTTGTCGCAGTCGAGAAACTGTTCCAAAGCCTTCATTTCAATATTTTGACACGCTTCCGTCAGCTCTATTTTACGTTCGAATTTAAAAAGTAGCTTCTTATTCAACGCATTCATTAACCTTGTAAATAGAAACTGTTCCCCACTGCAGTTAAGTTATAGTAAAGGATGATACTTTAAGAAAAAAATGTAACATAGCATTTGTACCTGATTAAAAACACAAGATAACAACGAACTGTCTGTTTTTGAGTGTTGAATTCGTGGCCCCAGTTATTCAAAAGGTCGATAACGCTATCCACTGGATAATTCACCCTGATACTTTATACCCACTAGGCAGTGATTTATCCGGTGGCAAATCGTCTTTTTCCGGTGCAGAGCGCTATCAGCCATCTTTTGAACAACTGGGGCCTAGTGAGAAGGGTTCTGTTATAAGCCCGATTTTCAAATAATCGTTCGCGCAGCTGTCACTGTGATATGGGCATCCCCATTCCCAAACACTAGTGATATGAGCATCCCCTGTAACCCTAATCCTAACCCAAACCCGATTCGCAAAGGTAGTATGAGAAGGTTATGCCCACATCACTAGAGTTTTGGGAATGGGGATGCCCAAAACGCGGGGGTAACGCCGCCCCAATTTTATACTTACAGGTTTTTTGCGCAGCTTTTTAATTAAGAAAGGTGGCAATATTAGTACGAACAGTTTTTCCGCAATGCAATGATCGCGAAAAAATTAATAGTTTCTTTTTTTGTGCCTTATTAAATTTTTACTAATTTCACTAATTTCTACTAATTTCATACTACAAAGTTTTTTTATATACTATCGCCGCCCACCCCGCAAACGAGGGCTTGGCTGTAGGCTAAAGACGCCAAACGCCGCTTTATTCCGCATCTTTATAAATGGGGTCCAGTGTCCTGACGGTAGCCTGAACATAAGGCTTTTCTCGTGAAACGTCGTGTTCAATTTTATCCCGGCCTTGACTTGAAAAAGGCTCTGCCGCCATATTGAAAGCCGAGAGGACCCTGGGAGAGACTTCGGACGAGTCTCAAAGGAATACGACAATTGCCGAAAATGATACGAAGCTGGTCCGATTTTTCCGAAAACAACATGCACATGGCGACGAAACATTCTGCTGCTAACAGATAGCGTTTGCTACTTGCTCTCACTGATTGACTAACTCTCTTCCAGTGGGTTGTATTTTTCCACAGACGAGATGTCGCAGCTTCCTCCTCCAAATTTTGGAAACTTTCCGCCATCTTTCAACGCGAACGGTTTTCCACCGTGTCCAACGCTTGCCCAAGGAGCTGCTTTCTCAGTTTTTAGCAGACCACCGTTTCCTCCGCCAAGCTTTTCGCCAAGATTACCTTTTAACTCGTTTCCTGGTCCTCCATTTTGTCAGTTTAGGCCATCAATATGGCCGAATGGTAACTGTTTATCCAACCACGTGGCTCATCCATCATGCCATCAGCACTCTCCGTCGCCTCTGCAGCGTCCACCACATGCACAGGTTACCAATTTCCAGGTAGTGTATAGAGTAACAAATGGGTAGCCTGCATAGCTCGTGGTTTTCTTTCTTGCGTGCGCAAATGAGCTGCAAAGTTGCGAGGTGTGCCCTCTTGTCAAACAAGTCGTCAACTACGCGGGCTAACAAATGGTTGTCAGTTCATGGTTAGCCTGTGTGAGTGATGGATAATCACAGGAAATTTTTCAAGTTAGGATATGAAAGAAGAGTAAAAGGCTGGTTCTCATTTGCAAGAGAGTCTAAGTCATTCAGTCAAACCTCCATGTGCGACCACCTCTCGTAAGCTACCACTTCCCATAAACAACCGCCAATCCAAAACACCAAAATTTTCCCAGTCAAAACCTCACAGTTGGAACCTCTAGTAAATGAACACCTCCTGTAAGCAACCGTGACCACTTTTTGGGCCTGACGGTTGATGATTTCCATGGTTTTTAACCTCTTGTAAGCGACCACTTGATGCATTATCTGATCTCTATATTCGCTGTGTGCACTATGCTACTTAGAGTATACGTAGAACTTTAGTGACAACATGGAATTACACATGTCATAACTTAGACATTGCATGCAATAAATTATCTTCCATAATTTTAAGTAGATGTGCTGGACCTCTTCTTGGAAAAGGCTCCCTGTGCTTCGATTCTTGTAAAAGACCACCTCCCGTAAGCGACCACTCAGTCTTTGCATTTTGGGTGGTTGCTTACGGGAGGTTCGACTGTAGTTGTAAGTGCACTTATGATCTAGTGAAAATCAAAAACTGGAGTTATAATGTGTACTCTGGAATCAAAGTCAGGAGACCAGAAGGTTTCCATATTATTGTGACTCTGCTTATGGCTCTGTCATTTATGATCCAGTGGCACTTGAAGCAGATTAAGCAGCAGGATAAGTTCAATCACAATGTTCATTCCTTTGCTTTCTGATCGGTTAAGTTCTTCAGCCTCTGCTTGTAACTTTCACTAGATTGTAAGTGACGAAGTGGTAAGCGGAAGCAGAATGCTGTTTCCACTGGATCATTATGCACTATGCTTCTGATTATGATCCTGACTTCAACTCCAACACAAGGAGAAATTACCAGCGTAGAGAGCTGCTTGAAGCATCTCTGGCTTCCATGGTACTAAGCAAACCCACCCCCCACAATCTGGTCCATGTTTTGTTGGTAAAATCCATTCTCAGGTTCAACACATCAAACCTACAATACTCGTCACAAATCTTTGAAACAAGAGCCATTTGTCTTGAATTTTCTCCAAATTTCATACATTCACTCTTTACACCTTTGTTCTCACTCAAATGTGCCCCTCTTCTTCCCCAATGTTGAGCCAAGCGTAATTTGGAGCACTGAAATGACTGCAAACCCAAATCAACATTGGGGAGGGAAAAATCACACAATTGTTTCGAGATTTGTGATGAGTACTGTAGTACTGTGATTTCCCTTGTTTCCCACCAACAATATTTTTATTATTCATTAGAGACAATGGAAATTCTAGGTTACCTCTAAAACAGAACTCACCTACAAAACATGTACGACCACTGGGCCTTTCTTTTAATATCTGTGCCCTTGTTGTTGAAGGTTAATATATGACTTTACACCCCAAGGAGAAAAAAGGTCAAAGCACTGACACATTTTTATTTTCTTTTAGGGAAAAACAAGTAGAGCCCATGAAACTGGTCAGAACGCTGTAGAAACCGAGTTCAGCTGTGACGCTTGTCAAAAGCAGTTCACCAGCAAAGAGACATTAAATGCACATTTAGGAACACACATTCAGGTATTGTTAAAGCAGCAGTATTACCCCTGAGAGATTTAGAGTTCCATTTGCAGCATATGACAAATATCAATTTGTACGATATGACCAAGTTTTCCATTTACACATCGGTTACTGTTCACTGTGACCACACAGAAATTGGTAGATTCACGTCAAGCTGGTTGACTTCAAAATGTTAACAAACTGATTTTGCCTTTTGCAGTGTAATCATGAAGATTGTACATTCAGGGCAACAAGGAAAATGCTCAAACTACACTGGATACAGGTTTTGTACAAAAACTAAATATTAGCTAGAGTAGTGATAGTCTGCTACACAGCCGTTTTTAGTGTCGTCACGCAACGCTCCTCCCCACTAACAGCTGCTGAAAACCGAACTACATTCCTTTTCCGTGATTAGCCAATTATAATTCAGCTCCCATTTTCTGGAAAGTGTTCGCGCCACCTTTGCGGTACTGTGACTCCTCCAATCACAGCTTTGCTTTTATCGTTGCCCCATGTGTGAATGACAGAATAATCAAAATCTTTGCGTGAAAACAAGCAATTAACTGCAGTGTTGTCGTAGTCGAGTCCTATTCAAAATTTAGGAGATAAGCAGCAACAGCAAGAAAGTCGAACAAATTGCTATTCATAACATGTGCTCATAAAGTTGCCAGGTATAGTTTCGGGAAATCGCTCATCGATAATTTATAAGATTGCTTTTTGACTCAGTACCCTTGAGAGTTTAGTCTTCACAGAACACAATGAGCACATCCGGTACATTAAATTCTTCACTACATATCAGCACATATGCACGTTAAATGAAGAACCAAGCGACCCTGGTAAAAGTTTTCTAGGCCTATCAAACCTTCTTTTCACTTGGAACTTTCTTGACCGCTTAAAACAAACTTTTTTGCAAATTAACCTTTTCGTTGCTTGAAAACACAGAGTCCGTCTAAATTCAGCGGCGATTGATTGATTTGTCGAAAACTGAGAAGCGTGCTCGCTGCCTAGCGCCCTGCGGCTCACGTATTGTCAAATTTCTTGTACATGATTGGTTTGTTCGTTAGACCACAAACACAAAAGGAAAGGAATGTAGTTCGGTTTTCAGCAGCCGTTAGTAGGGAGGAGCGTTGCGTGACGACACTAAAAACGGCTGTGTAGCAGACTAGAGTAGTGATAAAGTTTATATAATGATCAGCCTGGTATATTGTTACAATTAATGATTGTTAAATTCTCTGTTTCTAGGTACACGCACCAGGAAAAATGAGGATAAAACTGGATACACCAGAAGAAATAGCTAAGTGGAGGGAAGAGAGAAAGAGGTTTGAGCAAAGATTAAATATGTATTTTTTGAGGGGGTGGGAGAGGAGTTCAAATTTTCCCAGCCTACTATGTATAAATTTCCTAAACAAAATTTACTGCTTTTACTGGGCACAGACCTCACCAATGGGGAGGACACAAGTGAAACCGATAGGCCCTGTGTGTAAGATGCCCTCCTGACCAACCCCACCCTAACCTACATTTGCAACGATACTTTCCGTCTTTACTGGGCACGGACCTCCCCAATGGGGAAAGCCCAAAAATGTGACTCATAGGTCCCATGTAGGGTACCCTTCCCTCCCCACCCTAAGCTGCATTGCTTAACAATATTTACATGTACGACATTTTTACTGGGTTAAGACCGGCCCAATGAGAAGGACACAAATGCAACTTTTAGGCCCAATGTAAGATGCCAATAGTCCGTAAGGTTGGTTGGTCATTGCCAGAGATTATTTTGTCCTTTGTGGCTTGTTAACATCTCACACAAGATTCAGATTGGGAAAAGTGTTGTGAGACAGGGCCTATGGTTTTATGTCCTTATCTGAGAGGCAAAGGGACCCTGATTGCTAGTTTCCCTGGCTACAGATCTAAGAAGTGTTCATCGTACAGTCCCTCCCACTATAATACAGGCACAGTGAGAAAGGTGGGGGGGGGGGGGGAAAACCGGTTTCTTTTTTGTTGGTTTTAAGAAATTATTACAAAGTGAACCCAGACCTCTTTCTTTTTTTTCCTGTTGGAAGTTCCCCTCCTTTGGTTATGGAGGAGAAAAAGAGGGAGAAAAAAGAAAAGAGAAGGGATTAAGGCAGGGTATTGTTACACTCACAACAAAGTTTGGGTGGGGAAAGGTGGTGGGGAGCGGGGGCTGTTTTTTTTTGTCCTTATATGAGGCGAAAAGGGCCCCTTTTTGCTATTTTCCCCGGCAAAAGATCTAAAAAGGGTTCATTGCACCCGCCCCCCCAAAAAAAAACGGGCGCGGGGGGAAGGGGGGGGGGGGGGGGGGTAACACTGTTTCTCTATTGTCTGTATTAAGGAAGTATTAACAAGTGAATCCAGGACCTCTTCCTTTTTTTCCTGCTAGGAAGTACCCTACTTTAGCTAATGTAGAGAAAAAGAAGGAAGAAGAAGCAAAGAGAAGAGCATCAGGGCAGGTTTTGAAGACCAAAAATTTTAGGTACAATAATTTGTAATTAAACTCATCACAAATAGATGAGCTTGGGAACTGGTTCTTAAAAGGTTAGCGGGGTGCCAGATGCCAAGCTGCAGGGGAGGTATCCATGGCAACCCTGGAACACGGGAACCACCCAAAAGAGCGCCCGCTAACCAGCACCGTCACACTGAAACAATCAGTGGAAATAACTCACCTGAAAATACTTACCCTGATGACCCAAGAATCCGCAATGATTTGCAATAGCAAAGCGTTTGATCCGCAAAGATCAGCTGATAACACTGCACGTGTAAAGCAATGAACTTTGAAACCCCTGTGAAACCTCTAGAGGCCACCCGAAAGGTCAGGTACTGCAGATAAGGGAGACCACTGACTGCATTTGCTCACATTTTAACTTTGCCTAAATGATATTTAGCCACATTAAAATATTAGTGTTCATTTTGTGAACTTCCCTATCATGTGACTGACAGTCTGCAGTCAGAAAGAATCGGAAATATGCCTTCCCTAGTAGAAGAGATTAGCACAGTTGTTTAGTGCTTGGCCTTCTGTGTGAGTTTTCAATGTCCCGAGTTCGATTCCCAAGTACGACCTCAAATACTCCTTAATTTTTGGAGTTCTTTCCTTTCTGTGTGGCTGTAAGTAGCTTTATTATATACCTGAAAAACAAAGAATTGATCAGTAGCGGATCCAGGGGGCCTGGGGGGGCCTACCCCCCCCCCTTAATTTTAGACCAAAATGAGTCCCGAAGGGCCGAAGGTTTATTAGAAATAGACATAAAATGGATTCTTTACATTCGTTACCCCCTTTGATACCAGTGTTAAGAGGATATCCTACGCTGTTTCAATCTTGTACAGATGTATCATCAACATAAATTTGTCTGAGCAGGATATTAGTCATTACTTTTTTTCATTTAACTTTCAAGATATCGTAGAGGTCGACAACGTGGACAAAGATCACCCCAGCAAGGTGGTCGCATTCATTTGAACAATCAAGGCCACCATGGAGGGGGACAGGGGGAATTTAATGGCAAAGAAATGTCTAAAAACCAGACACAAAACAGTGAAGTAGCAGAGGGCAAAGATAGTGGAGGACACAATAGGTTACAAAATGGCAGTGATCCACTCTCATTTGTACTTGGCAATTCACATGATGAGGAAGAATCCGGTAAGTCCCATGTAGAATGGAATAAGTTTTTCAACATGCATGTTTAGTTCTTCAACAAGACACATTAATTTTTTGTTAAATTTGTTGTGTTTGTTTTTAAGTTTGGTCCATTTAGTGTCCTCAATTAGCAAGACTTTTAACAATAAATTCATTCTTTGGAGTTGTCCAATCTATTTGTCATTTAACGTTTTATGTTTTAGTATCAAACTTTATCATCTGCCACTGTATGGAAAGGCATCCCGCAATCTTTTAAACAGATACTAGTACTTGATGGATGGATATAAAAACTGTTCAGTCAGATGTCACAACTGTTCAAAATGTTTTATGAAACCAAGTTGAACAGATTATGAAAGCGGTTTTTTTTTTGTTTAAGATTTAGAAACAGGAAATCAAGGCAAAAGAAAATGTTCCAGTACTATGCTGGAAACGACACCTAATACAGCACCTGTGCAAGTTTCAGCTCTGAATTCTTTGTGCTCAGCATATGCTAGTGATTCTGATGATAATGAAGAAATGTCAGGTACAAATAATCACAAATTATAATTAGCTTGTGCTGTTTCAACCAGATAAGGTTGTTGTTTAGCTGATGATGGTGATGATGATGATGATGATGATGATGATGATGATGATGGTGATGATGATGATGATGATAGTGTATTAATACTTTCTGGTTCTCACTTTTCTAACAACAGAAATAAACAACAATAAGGAAACCATCTGCACCAACTATGAAAACATTCCCAAGAAATCTTGTTCAAATGAAGTGAATTCAAGACACAACATAGATAGTACAAATGAAACCAGAGGGGATACTAACAGCAAGAAAAACAGTAAATCGCGAAGAGGTCATAGGGGAAAAAGGAAAACAAGCTCTAAGGTGAGATCATGCCTTTCAAACATCACTGAGCTGAATTTTGACCAACTGAACATGACTCCTTCTTGATTTAAGTAACGTATCAAATGTGAGAAAAAGTTTTTAATCCAGTATCCTGATAATATAGGCTTGAAGAACTTAAACACTGTCAAGTTTATTTAAAACCGACTGTTAGGTGTGTAGAAATGGGATGAAACACTGGGTGAAGGAAAATATAGCCTGTTCCAAGGGTTCAGATAGTGGAGAGTGGTGTGAAGTAAAGAACGTGATGCTCCCCACTATCTGAATGCCTGGAACAGGCTAAGGAAAATGTAGCTTTTTAAATGGTAAATAATTCTTTAGGAAATTCAAAGCTTAAGTTTGCAAAATTGCTAAAAACCTTCTTAGTGACAGCGATTTACTTTGCTATATTTTCATTAATTTTTAATGGGTTAGAGAACTTTATTTTAAAATAGGTAGGAAGGAAAGCCAGAGTCATGAGTCAATGTAATGTTCTTGTTTTAAAAGATACATGCAGAAACAAAAAAAAATACTATATTTATATATATTTTTATTGGTTGGTTGTTTGTTTTTGCTTTTCATATTTAGGTTGACCCCAAATCATTGAGTATAAGGAAATCAACTCTTCTAGAAAAGCTTTTGGCCCCAGAAATCCGCCATGAGAGGAATGTCATTCTACAGTGCTTGCGGCACATTGTCAAAAAGGACTTCTTTGGTGCCGGAGACACCATGTCAGCAACTGATTAGCAATGGAGTCTACAATAAGACTATTATTATTTTGGCCATCCTGAGATGCCCTTAATACACCGAAGTTAGCGGCACAGTCCTTTCAAGATCCATACTGAAAGAAAATGCAATAAAATTAAAATAATGATGTTTCACTGAAATATTGTCTGCCAGTGAGCTTGCTGGCAATAAAAAAAAATTGCCCACATCTCACACTTAAACTTGCTCTGTATATCTTGCTCATTTGTTGCTGCACTCCTTGTTTTACGCATTACCAAAGACTGTTGGCTCATCTCTACTCTCCCCCTAACCCCTCCCCCACCCAAAAAAAAGCTAATATATTCTGAGAAATCAACAACAGCTGGAAATTATGTTGAAATTTTAATTTAATGTAAAGTTACTTTAAGAAACAAATGATGAAAAAAAATAGGAAATTTTGCAAATCTTGTTGCTGGCTACAATAAATATTTTCTTTTTACAGTGCTATAAGTGAGAACAGTACAGAATAAAAAAAATGTCTTGCAGATTCGAGTTTGTTGGCAATGGTATCACAAAGGTGGAATGGTGGATTTTTGTGTTGAAAATCAGCATGTAGGGATCTATGCATCTACTGTCACTATTTTATGTCCACTCCCATGGGAATATGTTTGTATCATCGAAACGATCCAAACTAGGAAGACAACCTCCATCAGTATAGTATATAGTAATTAAGTATTAGCCTGTTTTTTTTTTTAAAAAAAAAAGAATGTCCCCAGACAATACCCACGTTCGACATATTAAAATTCTAACATGACTTTGAGGCTTTAGGGTCAAAATCTTGAGAATTCCCAGAATTTCTTGGGAATTATAGTCTTGCAAACACTTAAATCACGACTCCATCATCTCGCAATTCCCAGAAGAGACTTTGGGCACAAAGAAAACCAAACCAAATGTAGAAAAATGACCAGAAAGGCTTGGAGTCATGTAATAATTTTAATATATTAAATGTGGGCTAATCTTTGCTGAGCAAGACAAATACGGTATCCTTTTTTCTGTACAGAATGTAAGGTCAACGCTTTGAATAAGCAACAGGTGGGCTTGTAATGACTCCTGCACCCTGCTGTTGGTTGGTAGCTTTTTTGCCAAATCCTCCTCTACCGGGATCATAATCACTTCTGTACTCATCTCGTACCTGAAATTTATAGACCATCATCAGTCTCACCATCAACCATCACTATATTATTGCTATTTTTATAGTCAGGGCAACCACTTAAACAAGTTTTCAAGTTGCCAGGTATATTGTAATAAGCAGGGAACTGAGCAGTTGAGTTCTATTTTCCATTTGTTCCCAGTGAAAGTAGCCAGGGATCACACAATTAGCAGCGGGGAGAATCCCCAACCCCCAGCTGAAAGTTGACCATTTATTTACACAATACTGTCGTGGACAAAAAAATCTTTGATTTTCTTATACAGCTCCTTATGCTTGGTAATCAGTACTATTACTGTTCAATGTCATTACCAAACTTGTAACTGTTGACCATTGATAAATGTCCTAGTTATCATTGCTGTCATATTTACCATGATCGTCATTATCATTAACAGTCATCACTGCCATTAACACTTTTGTCAATAACAAGATCATTATCTTTACAACCATCAGCTGCATGTAACCATCAGTACACTCAGCCACCAAAATCATCACAAACAGTATTCCATCAACATCATTACTATAGCAATTATCTTCATGGTGTGAGTCCTGCTTGTTATGTAAACAACCTCTTTAGCACTTACTTGTCCTCCACTCCTGCCTCTTCCAAACTGGCGTCCGTCGACAAAGCCTGCATCCCAGTCCGTGCGTATGATCCTGTCATCTAGTCTTGTACCATTTATGTACCACACTGCGTTCCAAGCATCCTCGCGTGTATAGTATCTATGTTGTAGCTAAAGTTTGCAGTTTTTATCAGAATCAAGAACTACGGGATTTAAAGTTCAAGGTATAACCAACCCATAGAAAACCTTTTTTCACTGGAACAAAACCCAAGCAAGATCAGCGGGTTTTTTTTGGCAAGATTTTCGTAAAACCCCATACACTCATAATGCATGCAGCAATTTCATACTATATTACATAAATAAGCTTAGTTAATATGAATGGAGCCAAAACATGAAAATGCATAATAAATGTATGGGGTTGGAAGAAAATAATAATATGAATTACTTGTTATGGCGCTAATTAACAAACAATACTGATCAAATGCGCATTACACTAAAAACTATAACTGATAAAACTGACTAAAATTAATAATAAAAATTAAATTTAAAAGAGCGAAGCTAAAACTTTGCATCCAGGGGACCAGGTTAATCATCTCGACAGCAAAGGATACTCAACGAAACAGAATCCACAAGGAGTCTTTTTTATCTTATCTAGTCCCATAATGATCCTTTTTACGTCCCCAGCTCGCGAGAACAACTCGTAGATCTGTTCTTCCGTTGTGTAAAACGACAAATTTCCCACGTACAATGTCGAACTCGTTTCCAACTTTTTTTCTAACTCGTCGCGCGTACCCTAAAAACCGGGAGGGCAAAACAAATATCGTTAGGCCTTGAAACAGTAGTTTGTTTAACAGTGTAAATTTAAAGATCAAAGGGAAAATAATCACTTTGAACTGCTGGTCGCGATAGGCGCTGAGGTCCGCCATTTTGCTATGCAAAAAAAAAGCATTCAGCTTTCGTTCATATATGACGTAGAAACCGTTTTGGATAGTAAACCACTGATCAAATACATGTACGGGCGCGTTTTTCCGTCGATAAGAGGGTATGTATCGGGGGATCTGTATCGTTCCTCGCTTTGATCGTACTTTGACAGCCCAGATCTGGAAAATTTCTACATATAAAAAGAGAATTTCCCTAGAAATGAAAATGTTTTTTTATAATTCATTTGAGCTCTGTTTTCAACATCACCTGACAATTTTTCAGGGGAAAAACAGTAAAAACTTGTACCGTGGTTCGATTTCGTGTTTTTCATATCATACTGTATTTCACTTGCTACATTATTAAATAAGTTAAATAATGAGACACAAAACGCTGATAAGGAGACAGTGAATTTCACAAAGGATCTCTTGAGGAAGCCGGTGGCGTTTTGTTTTGATTGCTTCTAATAAATAATGCAAAACTTAAGGGCAAAATGTAATTTAAACTTAATTTCATCGTTCTTCTGGTTGCCTAAATCTGCTTTACCACTGAAAACCTAAAGAAACTGTTTTTTGAAAGATGAGAAGGGACCTTTCATACGAAAAAATTTTTCTCAGGATCTCGGGGGAAAGCCTTCATTTTTGGCGGGAATGTTTTGACCAATCACACGCTTCAAATAACGTCATTTGCATTTGAGCCCCATGCTTGTTGTCAATTGATAACTGGAATATCTGGTTTTGGCGGATTGAATTTTCTTATTTCACTCCTTCTTTCCTTGAAAGAAGAGAATTCTTCAGTAGGGAAATAACTGCCATGTCAGTTAACGGCATCTTAAACGCATTTTGTATTGCATCAGGAATTTTGTTCGCGTCAAAGCTATGTTCGTCCGTTGGTGTCGTTTCGGACGAAGACTGTTTATCACGAGGACGGAACTGTACTTGGTGCTTAAGCGATGGAAACATCTTAAACGCATTTTGTATTGCATCAGGAATTTTGTTCGCGTCAAAGCTATGTTCGTCCGTTGGTGTCGTTTCGGACGAAGACTGTTTATCACGAGGACGGAACTGTACTTGGTGCTTAAGCGATGGAAACTGTGGGTTTTGCGATCGATGCGGAGATCATTGTCATAAACCAGGGGCGATTCATTCACTGGAAAACTGTACGAACTGTGCGTCTTGTATTCCGGGAAACCTTGCTGGATCAAAAAATAAAGGACATGAATGTCGCGCAGAATGGTGAGTATTTTACAGCATAACAAACGGACGAGACTCCCTTTTCTTAGTTTCTCGATCGAGATAAATAAAATTACCCTCATGCCTTCAGCCCGATATCTATTTCCAGCGGTACTAGAATGTCGTTAATGGGCCTTTTTATAGTCATTGCTTATGAAATATCATGATGTTATTGACAAGCTTTCGTATGAAAAGATGGCGTGTTCTTTTCACAATAAGGCCTTTTGCCTTTACCCGTCAATGTGCCATGTTTAAATTGTCCTCCCCAAGTTAAAAGATAATTTTAGAGCTCTCCCTTCCACAATTTTTAAGTAACATTCCTTTTCAGGCTCCAAAATAGGCTGCTTCAGTTTAGTCAGTTTACATGACAGTGACATGACCGATTTTGTATCGGTTTTGACAGACATTTATCAACAAAGGCTATTCGATTTGCTTTGATTAGGCTTACATTATAAAATGCAATCGTTATATTTCATTGCTGCGAAATATTTTCATTGCTGCGCGAGTTCATCTCAACAAACCTGTCGTCCTTTGTTGATTTTTTTTTTATGAAAATAACTTTCTGTAATTACTCAAAATTGCAAGGTTTCATTCTCGCCCGTCTTTCAAGGAAGGGAAATTATTGTTATCATGAAACGTCATGATTTCATTGAAAAGGGAAATTATACTGAAAACCCTTCAAAAGGAGAGGCCCCGGTCTGCATGACGGACATCTCTACTGGGCAGAATAAATTGTTGCTTTTCTCCAGATGATTTGTGGGTACGCTAGGGATAATCTCTTTTTCAAACGAACGGAGCATATTAATTCTCGAGAAGATATGAAATGGTTTAAAATGGAAGTACTTTTCATGGTTTGTAGCTCATCACCCATTTGATTTTAATTGAAGAGACTGGGGCAATGTACTTCCAAATTGATTGGTAATATTTCTGTGGATTAATAGTGCCGCCATCTTATAACTGCTCAAGAAAATGTTTTATTACCTCTTGCAAATGTTGGGAAGCTAGGGTTGGGTGGTAAACACAGGAACAATCACACGGCAGACGCAGATATAGGATAAATAGTACCGAAGGCACAAGCTTCTAGGGGGGTCTGGGGCAAATTTTTAGGATTTTAACTCCCTAAACCCCTTTACTGAATTTCTGAGTTGCGGTAGACTAGTTTGTTAGTATGACAGCGACAAGTCGGATTTTCTTGCTGAAAGGACCGAGAGACTGAGCTTACTACCCTATCCCCCTTGCTAATTTCCACCAATCAGAATTGTTGATACTTTTAACCAGGTATTATTACGAAAAATGTCCTGAAGTTGTCAGCGAACAGAAGACAGTATACGTGGAAATAGCTCTTTATCTTATAAATCTCCATTCAGTGGATCTGAAGGCTGGAACCTTTCATGCTGACTTCTATCTGTACTTCAAAGGTATATAAAAAAAACGTTATAGCAGAAGGCCCATGGTTTGGCCAAAGCCTCCTGTTTTTCACATTCAATTCTTCAGAGGTACTTCCTAGGCTTACAAAAATGACATACTGTAAACCGTTGCTTACAAGCACTGAGCAAGCTCTCCGGGGCGCTCTGGCGGCGGGGCGCGAAAAGGAAGGAGAGCTTGCAACTACATCTCTGGAATTTGAATTCCGCCTCCAATTCCCTGTGGCTCCCCTTCGACTGTGGAAAAGAGAGCGAAAAACACGTGCCAAGGGTTATGACGTCATTACTAATGTCATCTCCTCCAATCAGCATTTCGCATCGACTTTTTCGATGCAGAATCAACTTCCAGAGAGGTAGTCGCAAGCTCTCCTTCCTTTTCCCGCCCCGCCGCCAGAGCGCCCCCGCAGGGCTTGGTCGCAGGCTACCTGACTGGTTTGTGAGCTAGGAACTGTGCTTCTATTTAATAGGTTTTGAAAAGTTATCAGGTCTTCCGAGAAACGAGAAAAAAAAAACATCGCGGACTTGTACATTTTTGAGTGAACTTAACGTGATCACTTATCACTTTTGTATTGATTGGTTTGTCATAATCTGTAACGGTCAGTTTTTAAAATGTATGTTAACCAGCACACGAAACTCCAAATCCAACTTTACAGCGTCTGGGTATTCGATCGAATAAAACACTTCTCATATCTTATTTATTGCATTAGCATACTACGTAGCAACATGTAATAACGCCCAGCAGATATCTTTCCAAGATATCCAGAGGTTATCTGACGCTTGACTCTTTTTTTAGTACCTGAGGGACAGACCATGTATACAAAACAAAAATGCCATGATGGCCTTAAAGGAGCTTGCTTTGAACTGGTTAATGCTGCAGGACAAGCAGAGGTTAGCAAATCAACTAAAAAGTAACTCACTATCAGTAAAAGACAGTTAGCACTTGCCCAAATCGACGGCAAAATTTGTTGAGACCTCTTCCCCATCCCTTCACACAAATTTGGGTTGTTTGATTGTTTCCTACGGGCTGCCTGAATGGCGTCAAAACATTGTTTAGAGGGGTTGCGGGAAGGAAAAGCTTCACCTTACCCTTTTGGAGAAGGCATTGACAGCAAAGAGCGCAGGGTTTCAGTAAACGATATAGGTGATATTCGTAACACAAACTAAGACCAACCTTCACTGACATGACTTGTTTTTTAAACGAATTTTATCTGGCTAATTTCGGTTTTTTGATAGCCTTGAACAAAAAAAAAAGCTCTCCTCAGTGTAAAGAGGGCAGCAGATGAGATGAAGGTCAGGATGTTTGACTACTTCTTTTTTTCTTTCTGCAAGTGGTCAACACCAAATGTAGGCAAATATTGCAGCTCATTATTATTTATGTTTTTGTAGGTATCCAGTCACGAGGGAAAATATTTTAGGGTGAAATCAGCTTTTAACTTTGCAGCGGATCTCCAAGACTATCCGTAAGTGGGGTGATTAAAGTGCGCTGTTTCTGTTTTTCCAAACCTATTTTGGACAAACTAAGTTCTGAATTTTTCGTTTTGTTTTTACGTAGGTATGATAATCAGACCTTGAAAATTGTCATTCAAGACATGGAAATGACAGCAAAAGAACTCAGATGGAAAGTAATGAAGGTAAAACTTGAGTTCACGAAGTTGTACAAAATGTTCGCCCCTCCGACTATACTCCAGACTGCGTCTCCGGTATTCAACTTTATTGTTTCCAATTGTTTAAAGTAGTTAGACTAACAAATCATATCTCTCCTAGCTATACATCTAAAAATTAATTACAATGACCAGGGATCTCGGGGAGTTCTTTTGAGCTTTTCTGGGGATATGCCGTCTAGTATGAATACAGGCGCAAGATCCATAATACGACGACCGCAACAAGACACAAGACAGTTCGACTGGGTGTGGAGTTTTTAAGAAGGGAAACAAAAAGCCGTTTCAATATAGTAGGGGGTGGCCCGAAATTGAGAACGAAGTGAAAAAAGAAACGGTTCCTCTATCTGGAACATGTAAGGCTCGAACGTGTGTCCGGAACGTTATGCGGATCAGAATAAAAACGGAAAAATTTCCGCAGTATTCGTCAAGGCGAAGTCAACTAGTATCTTTCGGCATCTGAGAGGGAGAGCTTAGCAAGTACAATAATTCTTCCCTTCTTAAATTGTACACCACGTCAACTGAAAGGAACACGCGTAATTGGTCAAGACGAAGGGAACTTCTCTGAAATAAAAACTGCCAATGTTCCACCCTTAGACCCGCCTCACACCGGTCAAATTAGACTTTCTCAAAGTTCTTCTCTCGCTCACTCTGCCACCGAAAACATAAAAAATTTCTAGCTCGCGCTTTGCGCTCAAGAAAAATGTGAGCTCAACGTGTGGGCAAGTCTAGGGTCAAATTAAAACTTAAGAATCCGACAAATAAATAAAACAACTGCACTGAATGCTTCCATTTGATTTCAGCCTGCTGACTTCAGTGATTTTAAGTTCCGCGGAGGAGTGTCTCCAACACTTAACTACACAGGATGGCTGTTTGATACCAATTCTTGGTCACAGATGGTTTATGAAAGGTAGGCGAACATACAACAAAAGTTCATGAGGTCTCTACTCTCAAGTTTGATTTCCTCCATGTAGTCGTGTGAATCACCTCAATTCTGTTGGACAATTGCATCATTCGAGAGGTTCTGAGGATTATATGCATACATTGCTGGAACATTGTTTCGAACAGTAACAATGTTGTTCCAACATTGTTACCATAAAAATCGTCCCCTGCAAATCGTCAAGTGCGGAAGTCACCTTAAAATGTACAATACATTTCGTTCCTAAATACGTAACAGATGAGGCTAACTCTCACACCATTTACTCATTTCAGATATAACCCATTTTTGGACCAGGGCGTGTCACGTTACGAGTTTCTCTTTCACATGAGAAGACACAAACGAGCGGCATTTTTCAAGATATTTTTACCTCCGTTGTTCATAGCGCTAGTGGTAAGTACAAGTCAATGGAAAATAGGCCTTTTACTTTAGTTGATAACGTGATCAACTTTCGGTAAACACGAAACAGCGCACTTGTAAACATTTACACGTGCGCTGTTGGGCGCGCGGGGCACGTGCAAGTTTGAAAACAAATGCATGCACTTACTCGCTCGTGCGTTATAAATCAAACAAATAGAAAAAGAAACGCGTCTCTTAAAAGAAAAATTTACAAGGCGGATAATCTTGGAATTTATGAGATTTTTCCTTTTTTTTGTCAACAATTACTTTTTTAATTTATTGTACACTTATTCCGGATTAACTTTCTATTTTATACGTAATCCTTTTCTCTTTGTAGGTATGTTTTTCATTCTCTATTCCACCTAATGATGCCTCCATGCGACTTTGGATCGATGGGTGAGTCTTGATTTCATCTTTATTGTACATTACATTCCTTATGACTGGTTATAAAGACATAATCGTTTTTGGAGCGTGGGCTTAAATCGTCTCCGTCGAATTAAAACTGGAGGTTTTTTTTTTCGTAAATCGCGTTACGTAGAGACCCCGCAAACTTGTTAATGTTATTTGCTGTTGCTTTTGTTAGACTATATGAAGATCACTCTACTGACAGACATTATGTCGCCATTTGCAAGGGTTAAGTGTTTGGAAATATTTATTGGTCTGTTCTTTTGGTTTGCAGTTCGCTATTAGTTTCCGCCGTTATGTTTCATGCGAGTGTTAGTGAACAAACTCCAGATACGCCGGTGAGTTTTGCCGTTTGACTTATACAGCGTACCAACTTAGGTTATCTGCTTCGGCAGAAATCTTAAAGTACATTCATAAAGACTATGAAGATTATCAGCCAACGAATCTAGCTGTGGATGGTTATATTCAATCATTTTCGCACCCATAAAAAAGAATAGGTCATATTCCTACACTGTATTCTAAACCCGTCCGTTTTTATTTAATCTTTTTTGCAGGAGTTAACATTAGCTGATCGATTCATGGTTGGAGTTTATAGTTTTATCTTCGCATCATTTATAGTGACAATAGTTATGTTGAGACTTCAACGAGAAAACTATTATTACTTGGCAGATATTTTTTATAGCTACACGGAATGGCTGGTAAGCTGAAGTTATTTTCTTTGCCTTGGAAGTGTATTAACAATTTTGGCTCTGTTTGTGGTTGTATGTGTGTTGTTTTTTCTAAAGTTGTAAGAAAACGATAAACGAAATTTCGTTTATCGTTTTCTTACAACTTTTCATCTGTAAAATTAATGCTACACAACTACACAACTCTTCTACTCTCAGTAATTGACATTCAGGTTAAGGAAATGTTGTGACCCTGTTCGACCCGATATGGTCTAGACCTCGCTATACATTCATAACACATTAAATTTTGAGAGAATATTGAGAGAAAAGGGCCATTTATACAAAGCGCATTTTGCCTGAAATAAAACTCGACTTAGCTCAGACACGTCTTATCTAAGAACAGCCCATAACATCTGTTCTTACTGAAGACGACGACGACTTTTTATAAACGACCTTTACCTTCTGCTTTAGCTTATGTTTGTTTTGTTTTTTCCAGGTTTGGTTCACAGCACCTACATTCTTTTTCTTCCTTTACTACATGAACTTATCTCTGTACCACGTCTTATTGTATGAACTACTAGCAGCTTTTTTGTCCCTCACACTAAACAAATTTTTTTCCCGCCTCAAGTAAGTACAGAAACTGCAAGGCCAGGGGAATGGATACAAGCTTTCGGGGCAATGGTTTCTGGGAACGTTTAGTTGGACAAGCGTTCGTTCTGATTGGTGAATGGTTGATTCTGAATACCATCGACCAATCATAACTAACGCTTGTACACCCTAATGATCCCACGAATCACTGCACTCAAAGCTTGTACCCAATTTCTGGAGGAGGGAGTACGGCAGTGGACAAAAGGGGATAGTAAGCACGTGACTATGCCCACTCCTAGTCTCCTGTCCTTTGCATCCGGTGCAGATTGACACTGGATTGGCCATGTTCATGCTTTCCCGCGTTTTTTCGCACCAGGCCGTGGACATGTGCGTGTTTTTCCCGTGCTTATCCTCTCTTGTTTTCGCGCTTGGCAAGAGTTCACCATGTGATTGTTATTCGGTTACTGGAACAATTTAAAAATGATACTTTCTCTTCAAAGGAAGAATATCAAAAACGCCGAATCCTCATAAAATCCTTAAATAATTCGAGGAAAACCACCACTCAATTGAACTCCGTTATAAACATGCAAGAGAACCTGGTGAACCTTGCGGTTGAATCCAAAGAGGATTCTCGTCTACGTTTTAATGCTTCATAAAAACTGTGCGATAACTGGTTAGGCAATGCTTTTTCATGTAAACATGTCCCAATTACGTAATGATAGATAACCCAGTCTTTCTCTAAAAAATATAGTATTCTTGAAAGTACAGGTTTAGTCTTGTATTCAAGAAGATTCCCCTTGTTACAAAAGCGAGCTAGTTTAGAACTCGAAAAGGGCCTATTTGTATACTGCAGTAGTAATTTGGAGAACTTTCCGGCAATGATCTGTCGCTAAAATTGACTCACTCTATCGCTTATGTCGATTTTTGCAGATCTCGTTTATTTAGGCTTCTCAAGTTTGACAGATTAGCTGATACAAGTTGTAAATCGCCTATGGACGAAACAGTGGCTTGTAATTCGCGAAACGATGGATACTTTCAACTAACGCAAGATGAAGTGAGTAAAGAATAGTACATAAACTTCTATCTGTAAATATCAAGTTATAGTCAGCAGTTTAACTACTAACGGAATGTTCAAACCAAATTCAAAGAAAAAATCTACCATATTAGCCTGAGAAAACCCGCCGACATTTCGTGACGCTACCACTGGTTTTCCCGCGAAATGACGTCTGAGAATCGAGCGAAGAAATTCCATACTAATGACGCGTCACTACCCAGATCTGGGTAGTTACACGTCATCAGTATGGAATTTCTGCGCTCGTTTCTCAGACGTCATTTCGCTGGAAAACCACTGGTGGCGTCGCGTGTTTTCTCAGGCTACTACCGAATTTAAGTGTGCAAAAAAATAATGAAAAACAAATATTACCATGTGAAAGTACTGCTGAACGTTTTTCTTTTAAATGGCCACAATTCCGTCCACGGAATCAAAAGATAGAACAATGTCTTGTACAGCGATACTCATGCTGACTTCAACTATTGATATAACATGAAATATGCTAACCAGAAGCGCACTGGCGTTGCTTTCTGGATTTTCTTGGCATAAGCTAAAGCTAAAAAAAAAAATTTTTTTTCTTAGAACGTGTGCAATTTTCACAATTCTAGTTTTTGTTTTCGAGTCTTGTTCCAAATACATAGTTGACATAGTAACGATAATCTATATTTACTTATTTCACAATGTTTAGCTGTGACCAATTAACTGATTATTCATCCAATTATTGATTCACAGGAGACAGAGCTTTCCTTGCGATCTGCTGCATGCAAACCATGTTTCCCTGGCAACCGCGATAACTCTTGCGAGACACCTTGTCCAAAACAACAACCCACACCAAACAAGAAGGCATAGGACTGGACTACTGTATATGGACAAAAGATTTAACCTTTCTTGTCAGGGAATTCTCACAGTCAAAACCCTGATTTCACTTTCTAACTCGAATTTCCAACTTTAAAAAGAGCGGATTCCTGTATACCCATTCCTATGTTTTAGATAACCGAAACTAGTCAAACTACAATTCTACTGCTGTTGTCTGTTTCAATTAAATTCTTCACTTTAGAAACGAGAAAGAAACTGGGACGAGTAAACTTTGCAAAGACGTCTGGGACAGGGGAAAAAATTGTCCAATAGCTGACCGGCGCGTTCCCAATAACTATCCCAGAAACAATTGCGGGACGCTTGTCGGCTCCAGTTCTCACCACGTTTTTTGAATGGGAGCGTAGATTGAACGGCATATTTGAATTTTATCCCCTTTATACACTCAATTATCTTGACAAGACTTTGAGCACTGACAAACACCCTGCTGCAGTGATGCAAATTGTCCAAAAAAAGAGCCAGAGTTTAAATCAGACCCCTTGAATTAAGGAAATGGTGTTCTGTAATAGACGAAGAGTAGGAAAAGAAAAGGGCGGCATCAATACTAGGCTCACTCTCCAATTTACGGGCTGGCTTCTGATTGGTCAGTTTTAACAGTAGCTAAGCCGGTTCGCCCAGCCGTCGGGTGGGGAGTACCGCGGGCGCATCGAGATACCCAAGGCTGTAGACTTAGCCTCCCCCTAGAGTTGAATCGAGGTGAACAAAATTGATAGAGTTCTGTGCTGTGGTATTTCGCAAGTAAGACATCCTTTTCCCCGTTTTATAGCATTTATTAACAACATGTAGTAGTCAAGTTGACAATAATAATGATTACCTGCATTCAAGTTTATATTCTATCCCCTCAATTTCTGACAATACTGTTTTGTCCCAGAAAGTGAAACATATTTCGTTTAGTTGAACTCAACTGCTAAATTTGATTAGTTTAACAGCGAGAAAGATCCATATTCTCTGTTTACCCGATTAGCATTCGCTGGCATTGTCGAAGGTTATCAAAATTAATGTGACCCCAAAACGCTGAGGACTTGTCAATCAAACGAAACTGGGCGTTTTTACCCAGATATGTCGCGATGTTCCATGTTTTCTCTGTCATTTTATCGACGCACGATTTAGGTGTCTCCTCCAGAACTACTCTTCCATCAATAAGAAGCTGAGCGTGAACCGGAGTATAAACTTCAACGCAACCTCCACCAATCAGGAACTTCAGGTATTTTGCATAAAGCAGAAAACTGGGTGACGTCATTGTGCCTTGAGGACCTTCACCTTGCATTCCGCCAGCCGGATAATTGGGACCGGGCCGATTCTCGAAGGTACCAATCCAATAATCCCCTTGGTGGTTGGAATGTCGGCCCTCCTCTCTTGCGTGAGGGTTATCCCCGTATGTTGGCTGATTATTGAATGCATCTCCGGTCAAATTCCACGTTGATAAATCTTGGTCTTCGAAGTCATATACAACGTGACAATCTTAATTGTGGGAACAAAAGATACAAATCACCAATTACTTCTTTTGAGAACGAGATGATGAATTGAGCTTAAAGAATGATTTCTTTGCTACTAAGCAGGAACCAGAGGAGAAAGTTCTCACTGTGAGATTACAGTAAGTGTGATAACGCTGATTTTATGTTGAGATCTTTTCAGGTCGAGATTGTACAGTTTAGAGTATGCCAGTCGATTTCTACTACGGAAGACCAAAGAAAGTGCTATCCCATAAATCTATCCTGGATGCAGAAGAAGTATCAAAAAATAAAGCATGAACAACCCTCTTGGCTGAGAATCAAGATATGATACTATGTTGTTAGGACCCGTCGAAAACACTTTACAATATACCACTCCCCATAATATAATTTGAAAAATCTGTAAAGGAACCAGGCCTTAAGCTGCTTTCTTATATTTTTAAAGCAATAATTATGCCAGCATATTCCTTTAGTGTCTCCTTAATTGAGATGTTTTCATTTTAAAAATTCTTAATCTACCTGAACGTAACACAGTCGTCGGCTCAAGTGTCGGCTCGGCAGTCGTCGGCACAGTCGTTGGGTTAGCCGTCGTCTCAGGTTTCAGGCAGCAGCATCTTGTGTTTCTCTTCCAGCAAGAGAACTTATCACAGCACCCTTCAGTTCCGGGTGGGCAGGGTTTACCTATTTTGATGCACTTGGCCCCTTCGTTGAGTCTCACACAGGAATTGCGCATGCCTGTAAAAGTAAATTGGTAACTTATACCTCCCACGTACAATTTGGAGGGAGGAGCTGGGTGGGGCGGGCCCGGCGGGGGAGGGGGGGTGGGGTAAGGATTGGGTTGTTATATGCTACCTCTATTTTCAGTGTTTTATTGCTACATTCTCCATCTGTATAATATTGTGATTCCTACATAAGTTCAGTAACATCTGTAAACCTGAAGAAGGCTGGTACGGCCAGCCGAAATATTGTTATGAAAAAACAATACACGTTGTTCTGAATCAGCTTTGCAGTAGTCTTTGGGCTTCTCGTTTTTGGTTCTTTATATTTTGTCTGATTAGATCTATTTTCTAGAGATCCAACGTTTCCAACTAGTAGGATCTTCGTCCACGGTTTTTGCAGTTAATGTAATCCTCTATTTTCAGTGTATTTTTATTTGTGTTTTTTTTTTAACACTCTTCTAGGACAAAGAACCGACTACTTCAGTTGCTCTTCAGTTATTTATTACTCATGTCACATTTTGGCAAAAGTCTGTGATTAAATTTTCCTAACTGACATGACTGATTCTCGTCCATTTTTTTCTATTTTTCTGTTGAAATAGCTCACGAATGTTGCTAAAAATCCAGCTAAACATTGCGCAAAGAAACGGTGTTGGGAGACGCCCAATTTTGAGCTAAAAATCCGCACTGATTAAATTTTGACAAAAAAGAGTAGATGAATGAATATTTTATCAGTGACTGTAACTCTTGATAGGGGATTGTCTTCATTTACTTGTATGAATCATTTTTTTATTCTTCGTCTTCAAATTAAAATTATTGGAATATACTTGGAAGTAGTTAACGTTACTATGCCACGTCAGATCTGACGAGAATATTTTACCTTGCTCTCAAAGGACATGAAAACATCTTTTAGAAAATTAAACATGCCATGTTGTAATTCTGATTATTTATGGCTGAAACTCATTTGTGTGGCCGTGCCGCGACAACGAGGTAAATACTCGTCGAAGGAGTCGGAAGACAATTTCCACCAACGCAAGAGGTTTATGTCATCTTCAAATACTCCTGAGAACGGCCAATTTGAGTATCTTTCCACCGATGAATTTCCAATTCACGGGAGCGCCAGCTTTTCGACTTTGCGAGCTATTGAGGTAATGAAATAGCTAAAGAGTTATATTAGTTTTAGTTGCATTTCTTGCAATTTAAGAACACAAATTCAAAATTTCCCTGTGGAAGTAGCCTCTAGACCCTTGAGTAAGATCACCTTTACGCCATCTTCGGATGGCAAGATCCTCAGCTTTCAACCCTGCTTCCCAGTCCCCGTTAGCATCACCCACAGCCAGGATACTAAGAGCCACAATACCCAACAGATTCATTTTCCAGTCTTCTTTGACGACAGAACGATTTTAAAAAAACTGAAAAAGAAAACAAAGTATGCATCGTTATAATAGAATCTGACTTTGATCAGAGGTTTCATATTTTGTGATTTTAGCTGGCAAAGACAATAACATTTTTGTGTACCACAAGAGCGTGAAGAACAACTCACAAACCTTTACAGTGCTCTCTATTAAATAAAAATACTGAGAACTTGGTAGATATCCAGCGAGGCTGGGGCTGTTCAAAGCTGGGTTTTCATAAGTGCCACGGTTAGTCCAAAATTTGACTTTAGATATGAACGCTTAAACAACAAATTTGGTTGAATTCTTTTTGTTTAAAATTTGATGATTGGATGCTGTAAAAAGAATAGAGAAATACACCAGACAAAATACAACCTTTTAAGTAAACGAAATCTGGGCCATTTAGTTGTAAGGTGGAACCTTTACTTAAACACAATATATACCTCTACAGTACACAAACTGCTTTTGAACAAAAGAAACCCAAACTCGAATCAAAATTTAACCCCGGGTTGGCGCTAATGTCTTTGAACAATTATGACAAGAAAATAAAGGAGAATTAGTTCACAGACGTGGTCCCAACCTTCTATTTCTTCTTTTTTTTCTATCCGCACAAAAAACTCCGAGTGTAGCATCATGTTAAGTAAACAGGGCTATTTAGGGCGCCTTCCAAAAGTTAGAACTGGCCGGCAGCTGGACCATGGCGGACAAGTCATTTTGACAATGAAATAGGCTTTTTCCAAGAGGTTCGTGCCAGCTATGTAGAGTTTAACTGATCTGGGGCCCGTTTCTCGAAAGTCCCGATAATTAACGGGCCCGGTAAGCAGTTTCCGTTTACATTAAAGATCGAGGTTTCAATAGTTTTGCATCAAGGAGGAAAAAAGTATCAGTTAATGAAACAAAATGGAGTAGTCTGCTAGCCAGGACCCGCGCTCTTATTCTTTATATGTCGATCTGAATATTTGATTTCGGGTTCGAAAAGTTACCGGGACTTTCGAGAAACGGGCCCCTGGCTGGATAGTGTTGATTAAAAAGAAAATTCAGATTACCAAGAGAATTGTCTGGCGCCCTTAGTTTAAGCGTACAGAACCATACTAAAACAACATTTATAAATCATAAGTTTCTCAAAAATCTAGTAAACCGTCTCACTAGTACTTACCCGGGGAGACTTTAAAGCATAGAGGAGCCAAAGGAGCTACAAGCTTATGATTTGATGCCTGTTTTCTCGGCTAGATTTATGTGAATTCCGTTATGATTAATTCACTACTAAGAAATCTAATAACATGTACAAAAATTGTTTGCTAAGAGACCCTCCCACTTCAAAAACAATGTTAATGAAAAGACGGAATCCAATGTAACTACTACTTTTCTTTCATAATGGGAATCAAAAAGATGAAATTGAATTCCGTTACGATTATTTGATTACTAATGCATCTAATGACATTTACTATTATAATAGAATTTTGCTAAAAACACTCCGGAATTCAAACACATTTCAAATTGAAAAAGGATGAATCCAAAGTGTTGCAAAAAACCACTTAAGTTTTGCCAAGAATACGTTCAACGACTCAATCTTATGATTATTTGGTTAAAAACAACTCTGACCGGACAACTGAAGAAGCTGTGTATTTTGCTCACCTATAAAATGAATGTGTTATAGAAAGGACATTTCTCCCTTGAAAAACAAGAGCAAAACAAGAGCAGAAAGATGTATTTAAAATAGTCATATTTAAATTGCCCATAACCATAACCCTGCCCATAACAATTCATTACAAGAACCTCCGGTTTCACGTAAAGACAAGTACGTTGCGCAGAAACTATTCGGTTAAAAAAAGAACGTGTTTTTGGCAGAAACCAATTATTCTGGAACCTTAATCTGACCACACCTTTTTCCACTTTCATAATAAGTCTAGCATCAAAGAGGCGAATTTAAAACGTCGTATGTTTATTATTACAACAGCTCTTATGACATCTTAATATTAAAAAAAGGGTTAATCTGATTTTTAAAGAAATTCTTGGTCATTAAAAATCCTTTGGTAATTAAAATACGTAGTAGTGCAATGAATTTGATCATAAGGTATCATTTAAGACCGTAACGATTGAAACGGGTTTCCGTAAAACGTTGACCGGATACCTGTGGACTGCTGAGAGGAAGGTGGATGGAATATAAATGTCATGAGACAAAACAAAAGGAAAAATACCCCTTGGGAAATCTTGTGTTTTGACTACCCGTTTTAAATTTTACAAATCATCTGAAGTGCGTCATTACAGACCTTCACGAGGTCATGAGGAACAGGAAAGAGCAAATACTGGGAACTAGTTGATGAGCAATACGTCAAATAATTTCGCAAAGTGTCCTTAAATATGTATTGGTTCAAGGATGGCGGATCTCTCTGCGTGTCACAGAGCGATAAAAAGACAGCTTTTTCGACGGAATGAAAGCCTTCTGTTGCTTGTTTGTATGGTCACATTTTTATTTGTATTTTATATTTACCAAAAGGTGGACTGCGAAAACACTGGAAAATCAATTTATCAATTTGGCGTCCACAGGAATGAGCAATCAATATCGCGAGAATGGAATTCAGAAACCTTTTTATTTATCATGATCTTAACCTCGCCAAAGGGAAAGGAAAGAAGAGATGCTATACGAAAAACCTGGCTTTCAAATACTAAATCACTAGATTCTTCAATAGTCGCAAGATTTGTCATTGGAGTTAAAGAATTACCCGAAGAAAATAGAAAGAGCCTAGAGAATGAGTTAGAGACCCACAATGATATCTTATTTCTTCCAGAGCTTAAAGATTCCTATTTTGAACTAACTAACAAAGTACTACAAGCCATAAAATGGATAGATGAAAATGTTAAAAGTTCTTACCTTCTCAAGGTCGATGATGATAGCTTTGTTAGGCTCGATGTTGTCTTATCTGAACTTAAGAGTACTTCTCCGTCGACTAAGAACCTTTATTGGGGATTCTTTCGTGGCGATGCACACGTCAAATTTAAAGGACCGTGGGCTGAAAAAAGATGGCATCTCTGTGATAGGTATTTACCTTATGCCCACGGTGGTGGGTATATTTTGTCTGGTGAACTGGTGAATTTTATTGCTCGTAATGCTGACTTGTTGCAGAGATTTAACAGTGAAGATGTCTCAGTAGGTAAGAGCAATATAAGAGCTAAGTTATTTTTTTTGTTGCTCATTCTCATGACTTAAAGGGTTAACTGAATGGCTGCATTGAAAAAAGCCTTAAATGAATGTTGATCTTAAGTGAAGTTCTCATTTTTGGAGGCCAAAACAAGGAAAATTGGAAAGACAATGATTTGTACACAGTTCACCACAAGACTCTAAGGGCTTTAATCCAGGCTCCCATTAGTTCAGATGTTCATTATATGTCACTTTCCTCTTTTTACTTTGTCTCCAGGTAGTACACAACAATGACCATATCATCATCATCATCATCATCATCATCATCATCATCATCATCATCATCACAATATACAGTTGTTACATGATTGATACTGTTAAGTATTCTTTTATTATTTTGTGTTGTAGGGGCATGGCTGGCTCCTCTTCAAGTAAGCCGAGTTCATGATTACCGATTCAACACTGAATATCGCTCCAGAGGGTGTAATAACCAGCACATTGTGAGCCACAAACAGTCCATTGATGACATGTACCAGAAACACAAACAACTGCAAGAGGCTGGGAAACTCTGCTCTCAAGAAACTCATCTGCGTAATTCATTCATTTACAACTGGGCTGTTCCCCCTTCACAGTGCTGTAAAAGAGTTGGAGGAATACCATGACGCTTCATGACAATTCATCCATTTTACAGTTGTTGTACCCAGTAACTTGGCCTCGACAGTAGTGTCACCTCAAGTTTCATTGGAGCCAATTTATATGTCTCCCAGACTGACAGCACCAATATAATGGTCTCCCATCTGGGTCACCAGATCTCCCTCAAGAAAAAATTTATTTTTTGACTGGGGAAATTCGCCAGTTAAATTCAATATGAGTAATATTTATAAATTTTAACAAAAGTCAGCAAACAGCTTGCACTTAGTGCAAATAGCTTTAAGAAACGTTTTATTTAAATATTCAAATTAAATTATAGTGACATACTTGTTTAAATTAAATTATTGTTAAATTAATATTAAGATCTCTACCCAATAAAGATTATTTTGGTAAAATCTTGGTTGATTGTTATTGTAACAGTTGGAACACACTAGGTGAAATGTCACCACAACATGTTGGAGTGACAAATCACTACAGGTGTACAGGTTGGGTGATGAGTTGCTGCAACAAGTTGTATGACATGTTGCAGCTTCACATCGCTTTGTGTGTACTGGAGAATTTTTGTGGAAATCTTTGTCTCAGCAATGTAATTTTGTCCCTGTGACAAGTTGCACAAATTCTGTCTGATTTGATTTTGTGCAACTTGCTGCAGTGACCGAATTCTGTTGCAGAGACATACACACATATCCTGTACTGTTTGTTGTTGGACGTTGTTTTATTTTTCTTTTTGTTCTTCGTTTTTTTTAAAAACACACAACGTGTGAGAATGATTGTGGAGTGGTCAATAAATCCCCCAGTGTTTTTGTTTTTTATCACGCGTGCTTGACAGACTTCGAAGAGAAAATATAGGGTCTGTGAACAGGCTAATACACACAAAGCAATGTGTCGCTGCAACATGTTGCTTCAAGATGTTACCTGATGTGTTTTGACCTTTAAAATATTGTTAACTTGTGGTTTAAATTTTTCTTTGGTTAGAAATCTTTAAACTAGTTGCATTTTCATTTTCCTTTTGCATAGATAAGTTATTGCTAATCCACATAGGGAAAGTTTTAAAAAGGAATAACAAAAACTTAAAACATGACTAAAAATGGTTTTGCAATACTTTCAAACCAAGAGAAAGTTTGAAAATTGGATTTGTTCCTTTCTCTGAAATTTTCTAACTGCCTTTATCTGTGCCTCAACTCCTGTGGGCAAACAAATTATAAAGCAAAGACAAAATCTCACTTTTGCTTTCTTCGACCACAACTCAGTAGAATTGGTACATATTTAGATAACCATTGTTAGAGTTCAGAACCAGAAGTAAGTACTTTTTCCTTGATTCACATTGATTAGTTGATGTAACGCATCTTGAAAACAATAAAAAATATATTAAGGCTTGATTTTTTGGAATATTTTCCTATAGGCCAATAATATTGCACTAAGAGGTCATGTGACATCGTTTTTATGAAAATGAAAGTTATGGTTTTGCCTTCGAAAAATGCTGAGAGGGTCATATCTTAAACAAAATAATAGTGATTTGGTTTTTCAAACCCGCACCATTTTCTTAAAATGAGTAAGTTCGTAGCTGGTCACATGACCAAAATGTGATATTTAAAATTATGAATTACCTCTTTCTGAACACAAATTTTGCACTTAAACTGCAAGGAAAATGTTGAAAAGATGATGTGGTAACATTTAAAGCACATCTTTTCGTAACTATCAAACGTTTAACAAGATATAAGCAAAAAGTAGTTTTGTCCGCCATGTTCATGCCATGTTGGAGGGCAAGAGTTTGCCCTCCAACATGGCGGACAATACAAATCATACTACTTTGTTGAAAAATCAAAGTGCCATAAAATATCTCCCTTAAATGAGTTTCCTCTCAAATTTCGGGTGTAAAATAACTTTTACGTGCTCTGTCAATTTTTTGCACCAGCAAGATTCCAACTCATTGTTTAAAGGAAGCATTGGTCACGTGACCTCTTGGCGCAAGAGTGCCTGGGACCGGTCTTCGAAATAACACGATAGTAAGAAGAACGTGTGTATCGAGGAACGAAATGCCGAATAAGAAGAAAAATAACGCTGCCAGAAATGCTTTTTACTTTTTTATGGTATCTCTTAAACCTCAGCTTGAAAGGCAAGGTGTTGTTTTAGAAAATGGGATGCAATCTTTAGCAGAAATTGCTGGCCCTCGATGGAAGGTATTGTGTTTACAACATTCTTTTCTCGAGGCTACGTGAGGTCATTGAAATTTTTTATATTTTAACCTTAACTTTTCAAAGAGAGTTTATGATAAAATATAGACTATAACCATATGCTGTTATTTCAAATTTACCCTAGTATATCTGCCCTCTTCTATTCTCAAAGTAGTAAGTATTTCTTTTTCAGCACGAGAAGATTATCTGACATTACACAGGAAGGGGCCATCTTGAAAAACAAGAACCTTTGTTTTCAATTTCCGGCCGGTCGTTCCTTGACACATTGGTCTTTTCACTAAAGAAAATAAGTTAGTGAAGCCGGCAGAAGTGCTTTTTTTCTTAAACTATTCTAGGGCTACCTGGAATTGAGGACATTTTGGTACAAACTTGACTGCAACTATTGTTTCAGAGCTTTTTTCACAGCTTTGAGTTGCAGATGAGCAAATAGTCGACATGTGTTCACCAATTTGTTATGCCCTTGAGTGAAGACACGGAAGCTTTCTGGTCATTGTGCTTTCTACTTCAATAATTTCATAAAATAACACAGTTTGTTTTTTTTATATTTACTCTTTTGTGTCCAGTCAATTACTAATACTGCTTTTTTTAATGAAATGTTTTCAGGAATTACCAGAGCATGAAAAAGAAGTTTACCAGGAAATGGCACGCCAGGATAAAGCAAACAAGAAGTACCGTCCAGTGAGAAATGACCGGATGGACTGCACTGGAGAATATATTTCAGTATGATAATACAGCACAACCTACATCGCTCATCATTTTCACTTTAATATTTATAGATCAGATCCTAAATCAGAATTTTAATATAAAACAATCATATTATGTGGAGTAGTGAAAAACAAATATGCCCAAAATGTGTAAGTACAGTGGCAGAACATTTATCTGAATGGTTGGTAGTTTCTTGGTGTTGTGGGTGGGTGCAGTCACCAAATGACACAATACAAAGATTGAAAAGACACTCAACGCAGGGGTCGCACACACCTTGAAAGTCATTGAAAGTCCTTGAATTTTAGAAAAATGAAGGCCTCGAAAGTCCTTGAATATTGCAGTCGGTGCTGGAAAGTCCTTGAATTTTGGTGCTAACTTTATCCAACACAGATTCTCAAGTGCCTGACAAGAGCAAACATAGAAAGACCTTCAGGATAAAATTGCTCATGTTGTGGAAGAACTGAAAAAAGCCATAGACTCAAGACTCTTTTTTTCACAGCTGAATGGAGTCCTTGAAAAATGGGAAATGTGTCCTTAAAAGTCCTTGAATTTTTTGTTCAAAAAAGGGTACAAAACCTGTTAACTATACCCACATCACAAAACAAAAGTGAACAAACAATGATTTCTGCAGCACCAAGAAACACCGGAATGGTTGTACTTGAAGAACTGAGGATTACAGTAAACAAAACAACCTCTCCACCTGCATTATGGGCAAAATTTGGACAGACATAAGTTGATGGTTAATTTTATCCTTAGCTTCATTGTTATTTTCCATTTTTTGTGACATGTGTTTAAGATAATGACAAAAACAAAAAGTGAAAATTTGAAAAACAGTAATTTATTGGATAGCCTGAACTCAGCTTTCTGCTCTAGCGCTGACACAAAACAAAAAAAGGAAAATTTGAAAAATAGTAATTTATTGGATAGCCTAAAATTCAGTATTCTGCTCTAGCGTTCGTTCTATTTCTGGATAGAAATTTTGGACCACTCTGTCTCAATACATATAAACCTTCTGAAAGCCCAGATCTTATTTATTACCAAGTTTAATTGAATTTATAAGGGTCCCTGCCCCCTTTATTTTATTTTGGAAGGGGACAGTAGTGATGATTGATTTTTTTTATTAAACCATACATTCTGGTTGCTAGATTTGTAATTAGGCCTTAAGTGACTCCTGATCTAACATCAAATTCTTCCCTTGATTCAAAAGCACATACAGTACAAATGGAAGGATAATCTAGCCGTTAATCAGGCATAATAATATTTTGTTCCAGACATTTCACCTTGAGAGTGAAGTAAAGTATTATTAATAATTTTAAATTTGTTGAATTGTCATTCCAGAAACGTGTAGATACTGTGAGTCTTAATGACAAGCGGCGCAAGGAAGAACGAGAAGAAGTAAAGCGGCAGTGGACTCCTGGGAGAGGTAGTTGGAGAAACTTGTGTGTCTTCTTTTGTGCATAAAAACAACCCTCCAAGTTGCGACCATTTTAGTCGCCATGGCGCCTAAAATTTTGAAGCTGGTGGCTTGATTTGTAAAAAAGTCTCCCTAATCCAAAAGAATTGGTCGCCAAATGGCGACCAAGCAAAAACTTTAACTTGGAGGGTTGTAAGAACTTAAGATATTGATTGGCTTTGTAATACTCCTAACATTATAAACCCTTTAATCCCGAAGATCCAAATGTGAATTCTATTTCTCTTAATACCCAAGGGAGGGGGTACTCCTAGGAATTCTTGGTAGGGGTGTGCCACCCAGTTCTTCAAATCCTGACCCTATTTCAGACCAAACAATGTCATTTTTCACACCCATGTTCAGACCAGGCCTCTAAAATTCATACCCATTTTCAGACCCTGGCTCTAAGAAATTATGTCATTATTAATAAGATAAAAGATTTCTTAAAATCCACTTCAAATTCATATATTGCCAGTACTCTTTCTTTCTCAGTATTCATTTGGAACTGAAACAAGAAACATGTTCCAACACTCCCATATATCTCTTGAAAACCATACCCGATTCCAGACCAAAATGGGCAAAATGTATACCAGTTTTCGGAACAAAATGATGCAAAAACCATACCCTTTGGGGCAGCACATACCTATTATGGATTAATAGGCTATAACAACACCTTTAATCTGGAGTTTGTCCATCTTTTACAGCTGTCTGTGATGAGAAATTCTACATGGTTGGGTTTATGTCTTATTATGACATTCCCAATGAAGGCTACCTTCCATGCGAGCTTGGTGCTGTGGAATATTCTCTTAATGGAGGCATCTTACGCAGGCTACATTTCTTTCTGCCACCAGGTTAGTTATTATTATTATTATTATTATTATTATTATTATTATTATTATCATCTGATAAAACACAGACCAATCATGTCTCAGTCATGATGATGATGATGATGATGATGATGATTGCTTCTCTGTACCATTACGTCATTTGCATGATAGCATCATTTTGACTACAACTACTCAAAACTTTCAGGGTTTTTTTTCTTTGTGCAAGCAGATTAGCTTTGCTTTTTTGTAATCAAACCTTAATAAGAATAGTAATAAAGGAAGCAGGTTGTTGAAGTAAAACGATGCCATCCTTAAATGGTAGAGCTGTGCTACATATCATCAAAAGTAACTGAGAAAGCTAAAAGACCGAAAATCGTTTTTTGTATTATTGTCTTTAGCAACTAATGGAAGTGATTTCACTTCCTTTTTCCCAAGCTTTTGTCATACAAGAAGGCAACATTTAGTCTCAAATTTGAGAATGAATTTATAAAATCATTATTTTTCATTTCTTAATCTGCACTGCACTATTATTCTTTATTTAACTTGTGGTACTGCATAAACCATACTAGATGTCTATTTGAAAGACTGATTTCTTTTTCCATTATCTCCTGTAGGGGAAATAAAAATGGGTTTACGATATGCAGCCATGAGTACAAGTAAGTCCTACAGTAGAATTCTATTCAGAAACTGTCACAGTACCTTGGAGTCAAACTTTTCCACGGTTGCCACTTTGGAAACAGTGATAAGCCCCAGGGGTACCCCCACAGATATGCTAGACAGGTATATGCAACCCAGTGGGGCGCATAGTTTCTGAGGTTCTCCATTCTTAAATAGGGGTATCAATTTTGCCCTTGTTGGCGTTGTGTTCCTGATGTGATCCTTAGATGGGGTACCGTTATCATACCAGCTAAATATAAAATTCAAGTACTTGAATGCCTAGCTACATGAGAAACAAATCATCTGTTAAAACTCAACTTTACCCTTAGGCTGGTGGATTTTTATGTTTCATTGAAATTTAAGGTCTTCTCTTTCCCTTGAATTGGGTGTCATTTTTCAGGTTATAGCTTTAAATAGGGTATCATTTTTTGTTTTTTTTTCATCTTGAAATAGGGTCAGAATTAAAGACCCTGGGCGGCACAACCTATCTAAATGTTATTGGAGTTCAGTATTCCCCCCGCCCGCCAGTTGATAAGTGGACAAATTTGTGACACCAAATTTTGGTAGCCCATTCGAGGCATTCCGATCGTTGAACACCAGTAAAAAATTGGCAGGGGAAAATATAAGGGGAGACTAGGGTAAAGAAGTCTCCCCTCATTAAACTGTGGTTACTGTAGGTTGTCAGGAGCATTGTATGTGATGAAGGTCTAGGACTTAAGTGACAATTTTACATTTTCTGTTTGTTAGGTGAAAGGACCCACCAAATACCCATTGAGGGTTTGGCAAAGAAGGAAGACACCTTTCGGAAGATCTGGCTTGAACTCTTACGATTTGTTAATCCAGAACAAACAGCCATTTTCCCTCCTGTGTACTGCAGGGTAAGCTGATGTACATGTAAAATTTTCATTTCACCTTTCCCACCTGAGTTTTGTTTAAAAAGCATAACAAAAATAGAGCCTGATGTCAGGTTAAATTTCTGAGCCCCTGTTAGGGTAAAAATTCTGATAAACGACATGGCCCAAAACAGCAACATAGGACATCAGAAATAACCACAAATGACACAAAGATGGGTTAAATACCAACAGGGATGGAGAAAAGCACAAATACGATAGCATAATACTGACAGCAACATGGCTTGCTCCTCAATACGCAAAACAACTGGTTTTGAAAGTCAGACTAAGAACGTACATAAACCCCCTAAGAGGGCATCGTTACTGGTACATTTTACTTTTCTTCATAACTAATAATCTTTATGTGTGTTCTTGTTAGGTTTCAGAAACAAAGCAGACAGAGTACTGTCTGCATTATTTGGCAAGAAAGGCAGGTAGGTTGAGGGAAAAAGCCATCTTTCAAGTGCATCATGCATCATAAATATAGTATATTTATATTTGTGTCACACAGACTGATGCCTTTTTAACTAAATCTATAAAAACGAGCCCAATTATAAAAAGTTCAGGAAACAGTTCACTCACAAAACTGATCAGAAGATGCCCCATTTTGATGGCTGTTAATGATAAAAATAGCCATGCCATGGAAGGCGTATATCACTCTATTAAGGTACAGCACAGTTGCTCGTTTGCCTTGGCATGCGCTAATAATCATGTTACATCTTTGATGAAAATGGTAGGTCGTTTGATGTGGAAATGAAAAGCTAGAAAAGTCTAAGAAGAAATATTCAAGATCTCAAAAAGTAAAGCTAGAATAGATGAAAATTTTACTTGTACATATAAATTTTGTGCAGAGCTCATTAGAGGACAGGAATTAATTTAAATTAGACAACATGCTTAGAGTCAACACATGTTAAAGTAACATGATTCTTGAGGATATTGTTGCAACTGATTCTGATTATAGAGATGCCAAATAAACTGAAGAAGGTGTACGAGCTGGAAGGTTTGGTGTGTGATCTTCACACCCACTTCACTGCTGAGTCGGGAAGTATGATGGGGATATCGAAATCCAAGGCAACAGAGCTCATATCCAGTACCATTTTTGATTATGAACCGAATTCACGGTATGTTCCAAACCTCTTTGTTATGATGACCAACACCAAAAATTCTAAGGCTTAATCCTAATCTTATTTTGTGGTCACACCATACAATTTTGTCTTTCGGGTGTTTTTTTTTTTAATTTTATAGGTCACAGAAAACTTTTTATGTACAGAAGGAAGTTATATAACAGAGTATTATCTTGTTTCAAAGGATGTTTGTACAAGATTGTTTCTAAGTGCTTGGGATTGGTTGGTCGTCACTAAAAAAATTGCCTATGGCAAGGCTTTTGCCTTTTACTAAGGCAATAACAAAAAAATTAATACTATAACACAAATTAACAAAATGACAAACCTACCAGATAGTTCAACCATTTCTGATGTGACACCAACTAACCCAGTCCCCAAGCACGCTGTCATCTTGGAAGGTTGTGGCTCTAGTGAGTGATGAGGGATTAAACATGTTTGAAAAACAGGCAAACATGTTTTGAACAGCTGTTTATCTTAAGGCCTTCTTTTTAGCCGTAATTTTTCATTTTAGAAAATTTCCCTTGTATTTTCTCCTTTTTTTCCAGTTTTCCTTTTTTTTCAAAAGTTTTCTTTTTTTTCAGATGTGATTGGCATGAGAAACATGAGGTTAAATTCTGTGCATTGGGAACTGTTCAACGCTACTGGTGAGAAAAAAGCTTTTTGCTGGTATACCTACAAATTCTCCAGACTGATGCCCATACATTTCCTTAATCCATTTGCCCCGGAAGCGCACATAATTTTGCTTTCTGCGCATACCTGAACTTCAGAAGGTAATATTTTTCATCTGGGTCAGAAGACTGCAAACTGTTCAACCGGTAAACGGCTTTTTGGTAAGTTTTAGCTCTTTATGGCCAGACAATAACCAGAAAAAGGCGTGATTAGCTTCAAAACATGTTTTAGGAAAAATTGCCTGGGCTGAAAGGGTTAAAGGATAAGTTGAAGAAGAACTTAATGACGGATCAAAGCATTTTGTTACATGGATATTGTTGGGAGAAAATTGATTTTGGTCACTCTTCGAACTTAAGGGTTAAATGATCACATCCAAGCCTTTGTTTGTGTAATATTATTTTCAAACCGTTAAATGCATTTCTCTTCCCAGCTACTGTATGTCTGATTTCTTATGTTCTGTTTACGGAATACAACTAACACCAAATCACCTGCCAGAGAGACCAGAGGGAGACTTCTGTGCTGTAGTTAATGCACCAGAACACAGCAGGTTGTCGCAACAGGACACCCAACCAAGAGGTGGGAGATGGCCAGTGGAAGATAATGGACCTTTTGCCTCAAGGGATTATCGCTATTCCAATGGAGGTGCCAGCAATCAAGGTACACAAGACTGATTACTATTATTATTCAGGATTTCTGAGCAACAAGAGTCAGTCCAGCATAGCAAGTTTATAATACAGAAACTTTATTCTGTTAATGGCAGAACTAATGTAACAGTGCCTTGCCTTGCATCTTACAGAATTAAAGTAAAAAAGTTGGTTTTATTAACTCAGATGATCAAACCAACTTTTTTGTGTGTTGCTTCCCTTCCAAGACAGCAGCTCAGGTGTATACGCTAGATTATAAAATAACTAAGATGGTACGTGCATTCTGACTGGTTAAAAACCTGTGGTTTATTGTGCCAGTAAACTCATAGAAAACTTAAAGTTATTTTATAAAAGCCATAGACCACAATTTCTATGGGTTTACCGGCGTGATAACCCACTTGGGATGTTGGGAGACACTCGAAAAGCTTGTAAATAACTCGCCTTCGGCTCGTGATTTACAAGCTATTCTTGTGTTCTCCCAAAATCCTGTGTGGGTCATCAAGCCGATAAACCCATCAAAAGTGTGGTCTACTGCTTATTACATTTTGAGCCTGATTTTTCTGGTGTTGTTAAAAAAAATGTGTAGGACAGAACCTGAACATTTGAAGGGGTTTTTGAAGGGGCTTGGATCAATTTGACAAAAGAAAATTATGTTAGAACTAATAAATTTATACTGTTTAGCTTATTTTGAAAGATTTGAACCCAGGAGTCATTTCATAACAAAATGTCAGTCAACTGTCAGTCACTGTCATCAATGGTCAAATTCAGGACTTCTTTCCCCAGATGATCATGCTTAGCCTACTTATTTATCTTATTATACCATAAAATTCCAGAAATAAGCCCTGGGGCTTATAATTTTCAAAGGCCCTTTTTGAGGGGCTTATTTTTGGAGGGGCTTATATAATATTTCGGAGGGGCTTATCTATGAAGAGAAATTTGCGTTTCAAAAACGATTGGGCTAGCCTTATATAGTTGGAAGTAAATTTTACCGTTTTTGCTTTGTTTTGCAATTTTCAAGTACAAGGGGATGGGCGATTTAACGGAGGGTTTTTTGCGTTAAGAGTTTGGGGGGCTTTTATTTGGAGGGGCTTATACGTGGAGGGGCTTATTTTCGGAATTTTACGGTATTTTTCAATTCAATGTAATGCTCAACAGGGACCTACACTCGTTCAGGACCCACATATGATGAACAGAGTCTCTATGATGATGACGATGATGATGATGATGATGATGACAGAAAATATGGTAGACATCCACCACCACAGGCCACAGTTGCAGCTTGGAACTTCCAGCCACAAGCTTCTCGGCCTCTACCACCATCATCAGGACTCAACATGGGTAGGGGACGTGGAAGAGGGCGGGGTCTTCAATCCAGTCAGCCTCTTCGGAGACCAAATCTTCCTGGCATGGCAAGAGGTACCGCTGCTGCTGCTGCCAGTCAAGGTGAGACAACAGCAGGCATGTTTGGTCACCATTGAAGTAGTTGAAGCTTCACCAGTGCCTGCTTAATAGAGCTTTCTGGTAAATATGGGTTTGTTCTACTTAAAACATGGTGAGAAATGTTTGAAACATACTGAGCTATGAATATAGAGATGATGCAATAGTTTTGTTTATTGCGGTGGAACCTTGAAAACAAAACAAGACTGATTCCCCCTTCCAGTCAACAGTATCTGTGCTTCCTTACAAGAATGGTTGCTTGCAGAAATATATAAATTAATTTAGGGTTGTTATTTTTTTAAGTACCGGTAGTAATGCTTGCTTTTTTACCTCAACTTCATTGCATTTTTTTTTATCCACAGATGCATCTTGGAGCAGCATTGCTGCCTCTGAAAAGGCACCACCTTCCACAGACAGCATTCCAGCATGGGCAAGGGCAGGACCACAGCCACTCCCTGGTGGACGAGGGGCATTAAGAGCCCCTGTCACCAAACCAAAAGTCTACGCTGGAGCGATGAATCCCCCCGCCCCAGGACACGCCCCTATGCCCCCACCCGCTTGGCAGCAGCAGCTAGCCTGGCAGGGAGGAGGACGAGGCATAACATCCCAGATGAATTCTTTAAATATTAATGGCTAACAGTGCATTTCAGACCTTTCTGTTATTTCTTGAACTCTTGATTTTATTTTTCGTATTTATTAACTTTTTGGCTTCTAGACATATCTGTGAATACATGAAACTAGTTTGTTGTGACTATTCAAATAGAAGTTTCCTGAAGGGCTTTTGCGATATAACTGAAGCATATATTTAAAGATTTGTGACATTCACAATCTGTAGAACGTTACTTTCTAATGGTAGTGTTTTTATTTTAGTATGAAATTTTAAGTTTCCTTGAATTATTATGGTTTCATGAAGATGATGATGATCATAGTGGTAGTGTTGATGATGATGATGTGATGATGATGATGATGATGATGATGATGATGATGATAATGATGATGATAATGATGATGATGATGATGATGATGATGTGATGATGATGATGATAATGATGATAGTGATGATCATTTTGGTCTGGTAGTGATTATGATAAGTACAAAAATATTTTATTACTTAACTTAATCAAGACTTGCTTTTCATTTATCTGACTTATGTTTTGTTTACAGAGAAGTAATATAGAAACACATTGTAAATAAGGGACAAGAGTGCTCATTGTGAAGTCCTGAGAGTCATCAAATAATGATCACAAATTCCGCCACTAATATTTTCGTTAGTTGCCGTTTCTCCACAAAAGTTTTTATTCCATTTTTTCAAAGATAATATTATTCAAATTAATAATGATTTACTGAATCGATTAAAAAGATATTTATAAGAATGAACTAAATCTTTATATTGTTAACACCGTTTTTCACAGACTTTTGGAAATGAGTGCCTCGATTAACGTTGTCCTTCACGTATTGACAAGCAATAAATGTTTTATTCGTTGAGGAAAGTCTGCTCATTTGTGAGTGTTCATGATGACTGGCATTAGCGGGTTTGATTTCTTATGTAGTAGACTAGGAGCAGTCTCTGTTTTTTTAGTCCGTTGAGTGAAACTCTCAAGACACGACCACGCGCGAGCTGCACATTCCATCTGAAGGATGCTCGCGTTACTCGCCACCACAATTGCCCGCGACAAAGTACTTATTGCATCGCTTACCTTCTTGTGACTCGACCCCCCGACTCGACCCTCCCAGGGTCTGGTATTAGTCGCTTTTTATTTTTTCAAGTGAGATAGGATTAGTGACGAAAACGACTAGAACAAGTTCTGCATTCTAGAACAAATCCTTGTCCAGTCTGTTCTTATCCCAAAAAAAACAGAGTTAGGCCAGTTCATGTTACTGGGGTTGGGTTGTACGTCTTTTCAGTGAAACAAGTCATCGTTACGAAGCCACCTCCTGTTACTTTAAAATCAATTCTTGAGTATTTATTTTTGTTTATTCGAACAATTCAACCTGATTTTCCTTACAGTTATCTGCGTCCTTAAGCTACTAAGTCGCTTATTTTAAGTTTTATCAAGCACCGATCGCCTGTTACAAGCTAAAGCTTGTTTTGTCGTGGATGTAGGTATTACAGCCCACACCACGATCCTATAGGGTTGCCATAGGAACCATAACAGCGACACTGCCATGCATAGCTACTAAATGGGCACTGACTTCTGGTCTCGACACACTTCCCATAACCTCGACCCAGGCATTTGCACCTACGACAAATATTAAATGACTGAGTCAACCTCTCCTTGCAGTCAGCTCTCTAGTTAGCCTACGAACAGCAGACGCATTTCCGGTGGTCGCTTCTCTTCCTCCGAAAATAAGGAGAGAAGCGATGACCGGAAATGCGTCTGCTGTTCGCAGGCTACTCTCTAGTCTGCTACACAGCCGTTTTTAGTGTCGTCACGCAACGCTCCTTCCCCTTGGAGCGTTGCGCGACGCCACTGAAAACGGCAGCTAATGCCAAGGTCCCCAATGGGGAGGAGCGTTGCGTGACGCCACTAAATACGGCTGTGCAGCAGACTATCAGCTCTCTGGCCTTTTTTCTTTTGGTCTCAAAGATGGCAGACTTCGCACAACCCTCAATGTGATTACATGTAACGATGGAAAAGAGACTTGATGGGTGTACGTGATCACGTGAGGGAAATGAAGCACACGGAATGCACACTTGTCTTCCCCAGTCCCCCAGTCTAGAAACTTACAGGGGAATGCTTCAGCACAACGATTTCTGGGTTCGTTCGGGTGAACGACTGGTTAAAGGTTAAAGTTTGCCTTGAATACCATCCAAACGATCCCAGAGATCACTGAGCCCAAAATTGCAATCATTTTCTATCCTGCGAACAGCAGACGCATTTCCGGTCGTCGCTTCTCTCCCTGACGACCGGAAATACGTCTGCTGTTCGCAGGCTACTGAAGTGGGGAGTAGCTGCAGTTTCAAGTCTGCGAGTGTTGTATTTCAAAAGGAAATTTTTTGTTGAACATTATTAGCAACAAGTAGAAGCCTTGAATAAGGCTCCGGTTTTCTGTCTATTCCAAAAGGATGCTGTTTAGGTTTTATTAGTGAATCAGTGAATAAAATAGCGAGACTAGCAAGAAGGTTTTAACACTCAGCGGTCAGCATTACCAAAACTGGTCTATTTCAAAACTGATTTTTTTAGATGAGCAAGCGACTAGCAATCCGTTCGTTCTAACCATGTGTTTTACTCCCTCTTTGATTTTAACGAAATATTACAATTTCGGGTTATTCATGCTTATGTCTGGAGCCCCGGGGGGGGGGGTACTCGATATATCCCTGGGTGGGGAGGTGCGGCGCGGCCCCTCTTACCCTGACCCTGTTTAAGACAAATATCGCTGATTTTCCTACCCTGTTTAAGACAGAATTCCGATTTTTGATACCCTGTTTAAGACATTTATCCTGTTTAAGACAAAAATTGATAAATCGATACCCTGATTAAGACAAAAAGTGAGGAATTCGATACCCTGTTTAAGACAAAAATCCCGAAAAACATACCCTGGCTGGCCGCACGTTCCCATTAAGCCCTTATAAGGGAGTATCCCCCCCCCCCCCGGGGTCTGGAGCAGGCGCCAGTGGCGAGGATGCAGCGAAAACCTGCGTATTTACCTTGTGTTACACGACTGCCACAGTGTTCCAGTTGCAAAGCTGCTCCATTTGGTGCAACGACTCCACGTTTTCCAACATTTACCTGTCAACCAAAATATAGCATTTATTTTACAATGAATCAAATCCATCCATCAATCAAATCTTTGTTTTAAGACGGTAAAAATTCATGAGGCCGGTACAATATAAAATACAACTACATAATTATTTCTAAAAACAATTTAGACGTATCTATGAAGTATCTTCAGTAGAAATACTAACACTACCCATGATTACTACACTAAACTAGACCTGTTTTCGATGAATGTTTTTACTAAAATGTTTTAGGAACCCTTTAGCCTTTCTAAAGTGTTACATTTTTTGGCGTTTTAAGGGCTCTACAAAAGCATCCAAGCTGCGCTATTTTTTTGTTGTTGTTTTTTTTTGGTCATACGGGGCAATATTTGCCTTGTCGGTAACAGGGGAATAGGGGAAAGGAGGACAGGGCGCCAGGGGGAACAAGGGGAGTAAGGAGAACAAGGGAAACATGGGAACAGGCCAACAAGAGAACAAGAAACAGGGGAAAGGGGGTACAGGGGAACAAGGGATTAGGGGGAGCATGGAAACCGGGGGAAAGGGAGAGGGGAACAAGAAAACAAACGAACAGGAGGAACAGAGGAACGGAGCAACAGGGCTACAGAGGGAACAGGAGAAAAGGGGAACCGGGGGAACAGAGAAAACAGAGGAAACAGGGGAAAGAGGAACCAAAAACATGGGGACGGGGGAAACAGGGGGAAAGGGGAAAAGAGGGAGAACAGAGGAAACAGGGAAACAGAAGAAACAGAAAAACAGGGAAGGAGGGGGTAAGGAGGAACAGGGGACAACGAAAACCGGGGAACAAGGGAAACAGGGGGAACATGGAGAACAGAGTAACAGGAGAAACAAGGGAACAAGGGGGACAGGAGGAAAGGGGGAACAGGGGGAAAGGGGAACAGGGGGAACAGAGGAACAGGTGGAACAAAGGGAACAGGGGGAACAGGGGGGGAGGGGAAAAGGAAAACAGGGCAACAAGGGGGAAAGGAGGAACAGGGGTAACAAGAGAAAAAGGGAAACAGGGGAACGGGAGAACAGGAATAATTATAGTCGTTTGTCCAGCTATTAGTTAGCCGAAAATTGGTTTTGATTTAATCGACATAAATATCGTACTTACCAA